GCATGGGCTCTAGGTGCGCAGGCTTCAGTAGTTGTGGTGCGTGGGCTCAGTAGTTGTGGCTCGCGGGCTCTAGAGCACAGGCTCAGTAGTTGTGGCACACGGGCTTAGTTGCCCAATGGCATGTGGGATCTTCCTGGACCAGGGCTCGAACCCGTGTCCCCTGCGTTGGCAGGCAGATTCTTAGCCACTGTGCCACCAGGGAAGTCCCTCGATGGAATCTTGAGAAAGGTCCAAGGAAGATAAATTTTTTGAGACCATGTGTGTCTGAGAATGTCTTTATTCTGTCACATACCTGACTGATGGTTTGGCTGGGTATGTGATTTTAGGCTGGGAATAATGTTTCCTTGGAATTTTGAAGGCATTGCTCCATTGCCTTCTTACTTTCAAGGTTGCTGTTGAGTCCAGCACCATTATGATTCCCAATCCTTTGTTATGACCTCCCTTCCCCCCCACCCCCACCCCTTCCACCCCTCACCCCTTCCACCCTCTCTGTTTGCCTCTGCCGGGACGGGTGTCTAACATGGCCTGGCCCTCCCCACACTGCCACACTGGACCTGAAGCCAGTAAAGCTGTAACAGTAATCAACCTGCTTTAGGACACTTACGTAGCCTGGAGCCCGGTCAAGGATGACGAACAACTCCACAAGCAGCTTGGAGCTACCAAATCACCATCATGAGTTACTGTAAGCCCTGCCCACAGGCTGCTGCCCATCAAGCAGATCAGGCTGCAGCTCTCAAAGAAGTGACAGAGCTCAGTGACTCCCAAACTTTGCTGCACATTTGAATCGCCTGGGGAGCTTTAGAAAACCCCGAAGCCTAGGCTGCACTCCAGACTAATTAAGTCCGACTGTCTGCGGGTAGGAACCAGGCAGCCAGAATTTTAAAGAGCCCCTGGTGATTCCAATGAGCAGCAAAGTTTGGGAAGCATTGGCATAGCTGCTCCAGGCAAGAAGGGACTTGCAGGAGGTTTCAGGTTAGACTGTTAAATGAAGGTAGATCCCAAAC